ACCCGAAGCGGGATTCAATTCAATTTTGGTGAAAATAATAAAACGCATTTATTTAAATAAAATAATGCCAGCCAATGGACAAGGTTTGTTAATATAATTTTTACGAGTTTAACAAAGTAAATGGTATATATTTTGTAGATGTTGTGCCTTCAACCAGCTTTGGTGTGAGCAAACACTTAGATGCGTCCGACGTACGGTCCTTATGGAATTTGGGGCGGCTTGTGCGTCATTTAGGGTCTCACATCCAGTGCGTAAAGTTTGCCGAGGATAATGGCCTAATCAGGAAATCCATGCATTGCGGTGCCCATAAAGCCCCCATGTTTTTAAAAATTGCCGAGGATAGACAGCTCGGTTATTTTATATGCTACAGGGGCAAATGCAAAAAGAAATCGCGCATTTCCCGAGCCACTGGAACTTGGTTCCAGAACGCAAAGCTCGGCCTTCCGCGTATATTTTTTCTAATGTACTGCTTCACGTACAGGATGTCGCACGAAACCGTCCAACGTGAGGACTTCTTGGAAGATGGCTTTACACTTTCATCAAGGACCATTGCCGACTGGTATAGCTACTGCATAGAAGTGGTAGTAGTATACCAGTTGGACCATCAACAATTCAGTGGCAAAATTGGTGGTCCAGGCAAAACGGTCCAAGTTGATGAAAGCAAATTTGGCAAGAGAAAATATAATAAAGGTTATTTGCTCTTGAGTACTATGTAATTATATGTTTTTATTTATTTTTCCCCGCCCGGATTAGGAAGGAGAGTTGAAGGTCATTGGGTATTGGGAATAATTGAAGATGGCAAGGAGGATCTTCGACTCGAGGTGTACCCGGACAACATCAGATCGGCAGACGTCTTAATACCTCTTATAAAGAAGCATGTGCTGGAGGGAACTACAATCCGTACGGACTTCTGGCGGGCTTATGATTGCCTTTCAGAACATGGATTCATCCACAAGAAGGTCAACCATAGTGACCCAGTGAATCCATTTGTTGCCGAAGATGGTACACATACTCAGCGAATAGAGTCCCAGTGGAGGGTTCGCTTCTTTTACAAGGACAACTACAATAACCCAGAAAACTTTGCACACGTTATTGTGGAGTTTATGTGGCGTCGAACTGTTGCCGCTGAAAAAAGAGACGCTTTCATAGCTTTAATTGAAGCTGTTAAATATGTTTATAAGCTTGAATAAACATTTCTAACAGGCAAATATTTTCTTTTTATTATATTTCAAATTCTTAGGTACATTGATATTATACACATGTATGTGCATACGTACATATATTTACTTTGTTCCAATTGTTCATTTCCTTTTGCAACATACTTTTCTTCCTTCTTGCCTCTTCTTCATTCGGTCATTTGACAGTTCAACGTTAATAACTATTGCGCTATAAATTCGTATCGGCTTGTGATTTTGTAACATATTATTGAAATATTATTTTTATGAATGCTAATATTAATTTGAATAGTTTAATTATACATTTTAGTAAAATCCCAAGTGTTTCACGCGTTTTGGTAAAAGTTAGTGCCTTCATTTCCTTAAAATAAGTGAAAACACAAGTGAAAATGGTGATTTTTTGGTCTTTTTAAATGGCTCCCTGGGGAGCTATAGGGGGCGTAGGTGGTCGGGGGTTGCATTTTTGTCAATGGCGGTTCATGCCTTTTCCAAAAAGGAGGGACGGAGGTGCCCCCTCCCCCTCCGCCCCCCCCGCCCCTTTAACCAACGGTCATATTGGAAAGTTTCCCCTAAAGATTTGTTAAATCGATTTCATGAATTTTATTTAAAAAAAAAATGGCGATTTTTGGCGATTTTTTTCAGAAATTGCGGTTTTTTTTTAAATAATCTGGACACTCTGATTGGTAGTAGGACTTTCAACATCGATTTTTCCGATATCGATATTGTTCAGCCCGATATATCGCCATATAGGTCTAGTTTTTTACAAACAAAATTTTTAAATTTGAGTTTAGAATAACAGTTCCTTCTAGGCACAGATTTTTTGTCCCGTTGCATCAGTTCAAAAATCATGTATTTTTTTTTTACTTGCATCCCTAATAGGGCATTCGCACGAGCCGATTTTACAGGCAACAAAAGTTGAATACGAAGTTGAATGAGAAGTTGAAAGTGAAAAAGTTGCCATCCCTGTTCAGACGAGGCGATTTTCGATTCAACACGAATCGTTATTTACATTATTGAAAATGAATTTAAATCGCAAAATTTTATCAATTGGCGTAAATTTGTTAAGCCAAGCGTTGGTAGAAGTGCTTTTAGCGAAGCTGAAAGATAAAGTAAGAGTAAAAAAGTAGAAAAGAAGAAAAAGTATGTATACAGAACAGTGTTGGCATTTTTGGTACAATTGTACTTGTTTGATACAATTTCATTTACAATATACTTTCCTAGTACGCAGTACTTTTTAGTACAATTTAGTAATTAATACTAAAAATATATAGCTCTGAAAATTCACAGCAAGAAATTTTTTCTATTCTCTTTTGTTCGCCTGTTTGTATTTACCTTTGTAAGTTTTGAAAAATGGCTTGAACGAACCAGTATAATATAGCCTAGGCAAATTTTTAAAGAAACTTTTCGATACTAAGTTTTATTAAAACAAAATGTCGAAGTCAGCTTCATATAGAAACAAAGTCTTCGTTAGTTATAAGAAGAGATTTTCTTAAATATAATACCTTTACGGCACTCACATATTGACAAGATCTTACTATTTATTTTATTATTCTTTAATTTTAATTATCTGTTTATAAAATATAATGTATTCTTTAAGAAAAACTGTATAAAGCCAAGATTAAATCTTTGCGAAACATCCAAAAGACAACATACTTTCGTAAAAATTTCGAGCTTTATTAATATTCTTTAGTTTTTAGCCCATTCAATTTTAGTATAATAAAGTGCAAGTTTAAAGTAGCTGGGACTTACCGTTGAACTTGGCAATTTTTTTGGTCGACGATGTCAGCTGTCAGAAAATTAGCAACACCTTCATCAAAGAAATCTTAAAAAACTTTGTTATATTAAAATTTAATGGGCTAAAAAACCGCACACTCAAAATAAATCTAGGAAATCGAATTAAAAAGTTCGAAATTTTTACGAAAGTGTGTTGGTTTTTTTTTAATGTTGCACAAAGTTTGAACCTTGGATTTGTATGGCTTTTCTTAAAATATAAACAGTATTTAAAAAAAAAGCGTGAGTACTAGGTACTCATGAAATTTGATGTGTAAACATATGCGAACGGCGAAGCATAAAAGTACGTTTACATATAAATATAATCTAATCAAAGCTCGTTGTGCTTGTCAAATTGGTTGTGCTTGTTATTCACACAACTCGAGGAAAAGTTAAACTTCTTCTCTGTGCCACCGTGGTCATTTTTTTCTGCAACACATATTATGCCATTTAAATATATTTTAACTGAATATTTTATTAAAAATACCTTTACAAACCTATTTTCCTTACTAGGGTCAATTTTTGTTTACTTTAACATTTGTTGGCGTTGAAATATCTTGGAAACACCGCATCAGTTATTGTTTTTGAGCTTATAGTTTGAGCATTTCTATTTGTATATAGTCCTAAATTTAGTTTTTTTTCGGAATATAACTTTGGTTCATGTAAATGCAGTTCATGTTGCATGATTTTACCCGATGCTTTTTTAAATGATTTCAGTATTTTTTTAAATTTTCGTCTTGCTTTTTTGTCCAAATAGACAACTAAACCATCTACGAATATCAAAATGCATGTGCGCAGTGTAAATAATCGGAAGTAATAATCAATTGCAGCGCATTTCCTCTTACTATGCATATGCCTAAATGTATGCAACCATTTGGCAAGCAAACACAGGGTGCTTCTAATGAAAATAAAAATTTTATACTGAAATACACATGCTAAGCCCTTCGAAATTTTGTGCTGGGATATGCGTTGCAGCTTCGCAAATTTTACCCCTACCGAAACCAAAGATGTATACACATCAAAAAGCGTGAGTACTAGGTACCATGAACGAACTAATAAAGATCACCCAGGATGGCGTGCGAGAGAAAGTTATTTTTTGCAGTGACGTCATTTATTCGCCGCCATGTGAATGAAACGGAATGAAACCTGTGTGTGAATGAAAGAACCGTTTAAAAAATGACGTCATCAACTATTGTTTTTTTTTCTCAAATACAATTACAAATACACGGTTGCTGTGCTGGGTGATCTTGTTAGTTGGTTCATGCTATCATGAAATTTGATGTGTAAACATATGCGAACGGCAAAGCATAAAAGTTCGTTTACATATAAATATAATCTAATCAAAGCTCGTTGTGCTTGTCAAATTGGTTGTGCTTGTTATTCACACAACTCGAGGAAAAGTTAAACTTCTTCTCTGTCCCACCGTGGGCACTTTTTTCTGCAACACATATTATGCCATTTAAATATATTTTAACTGAATATTTTATTAAAAATACCTTTACAAACCTATTTTCCTTACTAGGGTCAATTTTTGTTTACTTTAACATTTGTTGGCGTTGAAATATCTTGGAAACACCGCATCAGTTATTGTTTTTGAGCTTATAGTTTGAGCATTTCTATTTGTATATAGTCGTAAATTTAGTTTTTTTTCGGAATATAATCTTTGGTTCATGTAAATGCAGTTCATGTTGCATGATTTTACCCGATGCTTTTTTAAATGATTTCAGTATTTTTTTTAATTTTCGTCTTGCTTTTTTATCCAAGTAGACAACTAAACCATCTACGAATATCAAAATGCATGTGCGGAGTTTAAATAATCGGAAGTAATAATCAATTGGAGCGCATTTCCTCTTACTATGCATATGCCTAAATGTATGCAACCATTTGGCAAGCAATCACAGGGTGCTTCTAATGAAAATAAAAATTTTATACTGAAATACACATGCTAAGCCCTTCGAAATTTTGTGCTGGGATATGCGTTACAGCTTCGCAAATTTTACCCCTACCGAAACCAAAGATGTATAAACATCAAAAATAATTAAAATTGAATAATAATAAGATAAATGGTCAAATCTTGTCGTAAAGTTTTGATAAGCACTTGAAGTGCTATTAAAATGTCAAATTTTAGTACTGAATCCAAAGGAAAATGTCTCTTTTATCCATTAATAATAATTAAATATGCTTTTTGTTAGGATGTATACCTGAAAATGTGTACATACATATTTGCGTTAAATGCAGTACATGTAAAAAAGTAAAATACGTAAACGTATGTACATAAACAATAAAACTTTCTCATGAATACCATAAAATCATTGGTCTTGAAGGGAATATACTAAGCAAATATATGAGCGAATTAAAAAGTATATACAATTTTTAGCCGAAAAGTACATTTTTTGTATAGATTTCGTACTGAAGGAACAATTTTATTTCCCAACACTGATACAGAATGTAAACAAACACAGGGTTGCAAGGAAAAAAGTTGAACGAGCTCAAAGTTGGCTGGCGACCAAGAATGATAGAATACAAGATTGCGCCGTCCTGGGCGTTGACATTTGTGTACCACAAGTAAACAAAGAATAGAGCGAAAAGAAGAACGAGTTGAAACTGCCAAAGCAGTTCACTTTACAGCGAAAATCGTGTTTTAAGTTTGCTAAATGTGAAAATATTGCATTTTTCACCTAATCTATTAGAGAACAGTGAACATTTAAGTGCACTCCATTGCTTTGCAATTGAGGCTGCTTCAGCAAACGATTTAGTGCACTCCATTGCTTTGCAATTAAGGCTGCTGCAGAAAATTGCAGCAGCATCTCTGCGGGATTGATTAGTTAACTTGCTAATGGAGGCTGCGTGGAGCAGAAACAAAATCATTGTGAGGAAATGCTGTTAATATAATAATAGAGAAACATTTCGGGAACGGCTTTGCCGTGCCCTATGTACACAAAATGCAGCGATTCGTCCCAGCGCTACACTTGCATCTACGCTTCTTGCATCTTGACGACTGTCGCAATTTAACACACAGCATTTCATTGTATTGGTTTTTACGCAGTCTTAAACTCAAAAATCACTCACAAATTGCAAATTAACACAATTTAAACTGATTTTTTACTTACAATTCAAATTTCTCTTTCGCTGATTTGTAACAAAAGTTTGTTTACAAGTTACCACAAATGTCAAAATCGGCGAAACCAAAGTAGCGGTACCACTGACGGCGCCACCTTTGTTCGCTGCACCGTGGCTGGCGACCAACTTTGTTGCGTTCCCACGACAGTCGGGTCTACGTAACCGGTACGACCCAGATTTATATCTGGCCAAGGACTGTCACTCCAGCAACACTCCCCAAAAAGTCTTTGGGGAGTTTGTATGCTGTTACAACAACAACAACAACCAACTTTGTTGAAAGCGATTAGTTGAAAGGCCGTTCGGACGAGGCGATTTTTGCTTTCAACTAAAAGTTGCCTGTAAAATCGCCGCGTGCGAATGCCCTATAAGACAAATGGAGTGCCACACACAGTGATGGCAAATTTAGTCAGAAAGAAGAAAGTTGAAGAGTTGATTTTTTTGGAAATAAAGATGAAATTCGATTTTTTCTAGAAAAATTCGATTTAATCCGAATTTTAGCAAAACAAAGTTCAATTTCAAAAATTCACCATTTTATCATATATGTAATACTCCTATATTGGCAGTAAGAGCTAGTACCGTCCGAAAACACTACAGTACAGATATATCAATAAACACGTACGAAAGAATAGGAACACATACGTTTATAAATAAACATGTACAAAACACATATACAAAAACGGCACTCAAGTACACAATCCATTGACAAAAACGGTACTAGACTGTCTCGATTTGATTTCGGAATGCTTACACATTGAGAAGTTAGCTTACTGCCAATATAGAAGTATTACATATATGCATTTTATAGCTAAAACTCGAATATCGAAGCTTCGAATATCGAATTTACCCATCCCTACTTGATTCGGGCTAACAACCATCATTAGTAGGCTGGCAAATTTTCTCTAGTTTTTTTCTTGTATATTTGGAGGCAATATGGTTGTTCGCCCATATAATGAGGAGTTAAAATATCTTGAAAAGATCAGCGACTGCTGTTGGCGGATAAAAAAAGAATTTCAACCGAATATGAAAGTGGAGGGCTGTTTCTATGTAAATAGTCGGCTAGAACGGCTAATGTTGGAGGAGCTTAAAAACTCTTGTAGACCAGGTGCTGTTGGTGGTTTTTTACCGGGTGTGAAACAAATAGCAAACGTCGCCGCATTGCCAGGAATTGTGGGACGTTCTATAGGACTACCTGATATTCATTCTGGTTATGGGTGAGTATAATCCAATCCGTTAGTGTTGGGCTTTATTAAATTTCTTTTCAGATTTGCTATAGGAAATATGGCTGCTTTCGACATGAATGACCCTACATCGATTGTGAGTCCAACAATAAAATATAAATGTATAGATATGAATTTAAGAAGTCCCTTTCTTAGGTAAGCCCGGGAGGAGTTGGATTTGATATTAACTGCGGTGTTCGCTTACTACGGACAAATCTTTTCGAAAAAGATGTTCAACCAGTTAAAGAACAATTGGCGCAATCCCTTTTCGATCACATTCCAGTTGGTGTTGGTTCTAAAGGCATAATTCCTATGAATGCTCATGATATGGAGGAAGCTCTTGAAATGGGTATGGATTGGTCTCTTCGTGAAGGTTATGTCTGGGCAGAAGACAAAGAGCATTGTGAAGAATATGGCCGCATGTTAAACGCTGATCCTTCCAAAGTAAGTTTACGCGCAAAAAAACGTGGCTTGCCGCAGTTGGGAACTTTAGGTGCAGGAAACCATTACGCAGAGATCCAGATTGTTGATGAAATTTACGATAAATGGAGTGCTAGTAAAATGGGTATTGAGGAAAAAGGACAGGTATGCGTTATGATACACTCGGGCAGTCGAGGATTTGGTCATCAAGTAGCCACGGACGCTTTAGTGCAGATGGAAAAGGCCATGAAACGTGATAAGATAGAAACAAACGATCGACAGTTAGCTTGTGCTCGGATAAACTCACAAGAAGGTCAAGATTATTTAAAATCCATGGCCGCCGCTGCCAATTTCGCTTGGGTTAATCGTAGTTCAATGACTTTCCTCACGCGTCAATCTTTCGCCAAAATGTTTGGCACCACACCGGACGACCTTGATATGCACGTGATATACGATGTTTCTCATAATATTGCTAAAGTAGAAAATCACATTGTCAATGGTAAAGAAAAGCAATTGCTCGTACATAGAAAGGTAAATAATGGTGGCTATCACAGAATCCGCCGTAGTCCGACTTTTCGTGGAATCACTGAATCCGAATTACTACGAACATGTATTCAAAGTATTCGAATTCAATGATAGCATTTGCGTGGGATTCACCGAAAATTAGGCTACGGTGGACCCTGTGTTAGCCGCTAATATTTAAGCTTAAAATGAATGTACCGATAAATACCTATTATAATTATCGCAGGGATCAACGCGCGCGTTTCCGCCTCATCATCCCTTAATTCCAGTGGACTTTCAACTCACCGGCCAACCAGTACTGGTGGGCGGAACAATGGGCACATGCAGCTATGTGCTAACTGGAACTGAGAAAGGAATGCATGAAACGTTTGGATCTACTTGCCACGGGGCGGTATGTTAATATGGGTGTACATATCTTTGAACAAACGCATTTTCTATTGTATCACAACCTATAGGGTCGCGCATTGTCACGTGCTAAATCACGACGGAATTTAGACTATAAAGATGTTCTTGAGAAGTTAGAAGAAATGGGAATTGCTATACGTGTAGCATCTCCGAAACTTGTAATGGAAGAGGCTCCAGAATCTTATAAAGATGTAACCGATGTCGTTGATACATGCCACACAGCCGGTATTAGCAAAAAATGTATAAAGTTACGCCCGATTGCAGTGATAAAAGGTTAAAAGTCAATATGAAGTATTAGTTGACTCCTACATATTTCATACAATGTCTTTATAAAATTGTACATGTTATCGGTGTTTTGTAGCCACTGCTCAATGAAAAAAAAATATTTTAATTAAAACCAGATCATTTAAATATCGACATAATGGCCCGTAGTTATAGTCAAAATTAAGTCGACACTAAAGTTCGTTGCAGCTTTTTTGACAGGTATCCCATTGAAAATTATGTCGAAAAGATGTAATTAACTTTAGAGGCGACTTAATGTTGACTATAACTACGGGCCAATGTGTTTGGGTATTTCTTTCATAAGTAACCGATTACAATAGCTGAATTTTTTTGTAAAAGAGCAACAACAGAACGCTCACCTCGGGTAAAATTTTCTTTTAGCTACTTGGGCGACCCTGTTGATATCCGGCAAGAAACATGGGATTGGTTTATCGGGATTTAGTCACAAAAACCAATAGAAAGGAGTAATTATGCGAGTTTTTGTGTAATATATGTATATACCCTGCAAACCATTTTTTCAGAGTATTCTGAAATGTAGAGAAATTTTAAAGAATTCGTAAAGAACTCAACCGATTTTTTGCCGAATTTTCTAAAATGAAATAAAATGTGCACACTTCGATTCTTTTACGAAATTTCAGAAGAAAATCGGTGAAGCAATGAAAATAATGCTGTGATGTGAAGAATTTCTTGCAGAATTCTTTTAGAATTCACTTTATTTTTCGTACAGAAATTTCTTTAAGAGTTCGTGTCAACCACTTGATACAATTTTCTTTGAAGGTTCGTAAAAAAAAATCGTTACAGAAATGAGATACTCCTAAAGATTTCGTTAGGATTTCGGCAACTTTGGTTCGCAGGGTACTAATTTAAAATATAAATCATGTATGTACGAAAACAATCCCCCACAAGTCCTCAATCGGATTTAGATCAGGGCTGACGGCTGGCCACTCTAAAACCGGTATATTCCTGGATGCAAAGAACTCTTTTGTAGTGCGCGCAGTATGAATTGGTGCGTTGTCCTGTTGGAAGATCCAAGAATCTGCGAAGAGCTCCCCAGCGAATTCGATTAGGACCTCATCCAACAGTTTCACGTACATCTCCGCATTTGTTCTCGTGGGTATGAAACAAAGCGGGGACTTTCCTGTATACCCAAAAGCTGCCCAAATCATCAGCGATCCGCCACCGTGATTTCGCTTATGAGGGGTTTGGCGGGGTTGCCGTACATCGCGCCAATACTTCTGACTGCCATCAGGACCGTCCAAATTGAATTTTTTCTCGTCAGAAAAAATGACATTTTGGAACTCGTCCGTCCAAAATTTTAATTTTTCAGCAAATTCCAAACGTGCTGTCAAGTGGCGCTTCAAAAGCTTGGGTACAGGCTCTCGGGACTCATACTTGACCAGTTTATTTTCGGTCAAAACTTGATGGACTCTTCTCCTGGTTATGTTTAGATCTAAATGGGCCTTGATTTCCAAGCACGACATATTTTTTTCGACTGCCAGTCGCCGAATTTCGCGCTTACAGCGTTCGTCGACATTACTCGGTCTTCCGCAGCGCTTAATTGTGCCATAATCATCGGGACTTTTTAGGAAATTACGAATGGTATTTCTNGCTTACAGCGTTCGTCGACATTACTCGGTCTTCCGCAGCGCTTAATTGTGCCATAATCATCGGGACTTTTAAGGAAATTACGAATGGTATTTCTGTGTCTGTTCAATCTGGCAGCTATATCGACAATTTTTGTTCCGGCTTCAGCTAATCCCCGTATCAAACCGCGTTCCTCCCCGGATAAATGCGTAGCACGTGGCATTATAGCCTAAAAATCATAAGTGTAAATTTTATGTGTTACAAATACACTACACACTGCTTTCGCTTACGAGTTTTTAAGATAAAAATGTCACCACTTAACTTTACTTGACTTGATCACACTCCAATGCTTACTAATCTTTGATTGTACATATATTTATTTCCTAAGCGCAAACAGGTGCCTGATCACATATTGATGATAACGGTTCTAAGAATGGAAGAGTTTTGCGTATGAAAATAAAACAGAACATATAACAAAAACAACTGCATATCTAAAAAATTAATACCGTTATTAAAAGAGAAGCAAACAAATAAAACAACAATGCACATATACTTATTTCTCTGAGGTAGTTATTTATTCCTTTTTAACTGAATAGTGAGTAAATTTTTACTCAGTGAAAAATTTAGGTATATGTTTGGCATGTTTAACATTCTAAAATGATAAATAAATATTCATTTAAAAAAATTTCAAATCGGATTTTTAATTTCCAGGTGGCCTTAAAATACAATTTTGATACTTCATCATAAAGTTTCAGTCATGATACAAATATTTAAAGGCAAGGTTCATAGAATACAAGGTTATAACCAAAATGTATTCAACAAAGTGTGATTGATTTTGACATTGCTCTCATAAGAAACAGGCTATAATGTCAAATTGAAATGAATTGTTAACCCATTTGAAAATGTGTTTTTAACAAAATTTCTTAATAAACGTGAAATTGTTAAGAGATAAACCGCCGAGAAGAGCAAGTAAGTACATTTAAGTTTGGTAATAAGTAAATACGTTCGACTTTGCTTAAATATTTTATGTAAGGAAACCAAGATGAAACGGAGCAAAACGTTTGAACGGTGCGCTGTATGCAATACAAGTCAGGACACGAAAATAGTGCGATGTTTTAAACCACCTAGTTGCGAATTTAGACGGCAGCGATGGGAAGAAAGCTGTGGTGTTGTACTACGTGATTCATCTCGCGTTTGTGAAAACCACTTCAAGGAAAGTGATGTCCAAATCAGACACTTTCCAACGAGCTCGTTTATACCCATGCGCAGTCCCAATGCCATACGGAAAAACTGATACAAGTGAGGATTTAGTACGCGATCAGGATACATTCTTTGTTGATGCCCAAACTCAAACAGACGACTCTTTAGAATGCACGTTGCGAACAGAAATATTTCGGCTTACCGAAATAATTAAACCATGCAAGCAAGTATGGTAGAGCTTAAATTAAAACCGCTCGAAGCAAGGTCTTTAATGGAAAACTATTTCGCATGAAAAAAAATTTAATTTCAAAATAGTTTGAGTTAAGCTCACATATAAAAGTGGTAAAAAATGTAAAATCATACTTTTATAAGTGTCGAATAATGCTTAGGATAAAAAATTTAAATATAAAAATAAACGCACAAAAGTATAAAACTAGGGCAATTAAAAACAAGAAAATTGCTAAAACGATTTTATAAATAATTTGTTTTATTTTATTGACAAAATATATGTGATGTTAATAATGTAAGTAAAATAAAACTATAATCGAAATAAAAGCCTAGGGCATCAGTGCTGATATGATAAATGCATCACTAAGGGTTAATTCGTTTGTTTATACTTTTTGACATTATAGTACCTTAAAAGAGAGCCGCACTGAGTTGTCAATCACACCTTGTTTAATACACCTTGGTTACGACATCAGCCATGGCCGCCATCTTGATGACGTAGATGGCTCAATTTCTGGAGTTGCCAGATTCCTAAAAAATTATCTTATAAAAATACACTATTTTAGTCAAAAATACATCAAGTTTTATTTCAAATATGTGTAACCCTGATAATAACCGTTTGATGTTTGTGCTTTTTTCTGCGTCTTTGAGTTTATTTAAATTACCAAAAATTTAAGTGCGCTGTTTTTGATTGCAAAAATTACACTGTAAATGGTAATTTATGTTTTACCGTATGTCTAAAGATGAATTGCAATTTCGGTAGCGAAATTTTGGCAATGTTATGAACGCATTTTATTTAAAAATACGCGAGTGTGTTCTGCTCACTTTCAAGAATAAAATCACCAGCAAATTTCAATTTGGATTCGATTTACATTTAATTTGTCACTATTGTACGAATATTATTATGTTAATCCAGTTTCACGTGAAGTTATAACATTTTATGTTGTTATGTTGTTGTTGTAGCAGCATACAAGCTCCCCAAAGAGTTTTTGGGGAGTGTTGCTGGAGTAACAGTCCTTGGCCAAATATAAATCTGGTTCGTTCCGGTTACGTAGACCCGACTGTCGTGGGAACGTTTATGTTGTTATAATAAGCTTTGCCACGATTTTATACCAAAAATGCCCATTTGATTAGGATTCCTTAAATATGCTATACGGCAGCTATATTTTCTGCGTTTTGTGTACTCTCCTTCGTAAAATATTTCAGCCAATCAGAACTCACTTCGCAACTACGTCATTGGAGGAAAACAAATTTTTGACAGCACCATGTCGTAACCTTCTATTCTATGAACCTTGATTTAAAGGTAGTTTCACTTCTTCTTATTCGCCATTGCTCCCATTTAACGTAAACTGTGCTTTTAACATTTTCTTTTAAATTGAAGCCATGACACAAAAAAGAAGGTAGTTTCATTTAATGACTTTCGTTGTTGTTAACCATTTGACTTTTAATAAAATTATGACATTTCATTAAATTCATGCTACCTGAGCAGTAATATTTTTTGTTTTTTTTTTTTAAGCAGAAGATTTCATCACTCCACTCAAAGATGTCGAATATGATGAACCTGAAAATTTATGTATAATCTCAAAAATAGGGTTGACGAAAGTAGGTTTCAGAACGGATGAAGAAAGTGACCAAAACTATACTTATGCTAATTGCTTATCGGATCTGCGCAAGCCGAATTCAAGTTTTTCGCATACATTGGATATTTTAAACTCGAAATTTGTTGAAGTTAATATGCTTACCACAAAGCCATTTTTTTGCAAAATCTGGAGAGAAATTTAAAAGTAAATTTTCACGAATTTCATGTGAACAAATATTCCCAAAAATTTTAAAGCAAAACAAAAATAATTTTTTCCAATTTGTTTTTGTTTTGCATGTTAAGTTATGAATTTATTCACATGGATTTGGCGATTATAGAAACATTTTATTTGGAAAGCATTCTTTAGAATTAGATTTTTCAATCGCAAGATTGCATTCAAAATAAGAAAATGAAAAGTAACAACATAATGCTTTCGTGATTTTTATTATAAAATATAAAGGACAATTTTAATGAAGTCTCCTTTAACATTATACATTTTATATATTTTTAATAAAAAAAGGTGCGAACCATGTAAGTAAAAAAATTATCAAGCACTGATAATGATTTTTGATTTGAAATATTATTTGGCTAAATGAGCTCAGCGGTTCCTCCTTTTTTCTATTGCGAATGACTCCGTGAAGCAGTAGGAACCCTGCTGAATCGCCCACTCACCACGGCCCGTTCCACCCACGTACATGATTCAATAATACAAGGTTCGATAAA